ATCGAAACCCGGTTTCTAGCGTTGTAAGTCCGCAAACATACGGCTGTGCCACTGGGGGGCACAGATGAGAGGAAATGAAATATGACAACAAATAATTTCGCGAAGTCCAATACGTAAATAACCGTTTTATATGAACATGCATATAAATGTTTAGTACTCTTAATTAAAACTGATGTTTGCATTTTGAAAATTATTTACGAGGATTTCTAGACGTAGAAACTTCTAAAAGGTTTCTTAGTAATATGAAGAAATTAAACATTTTCTGTACAAAATGTGAATCCCGACAACTTTGGGAAAGCGGACTTTTCCTTGTTCAGATGATTTACTAATTCAAGAAGTAAAGTCTTTCTTCCAAAAGCATTTAGATTATCGAGTTTATTGGTACATGATTTTTTTGTGCTTTATATAATTTTAGAGCAATAAAGTTTTAATGTTTCATTACATGAAGTGTCACCAAGACTACAGCGAAGCATACCAGAAGCTAATGACCGTAAGGACTCATAGCCAGTTAGCTGAATATTATGACATGCACAATGCCTACGTTCAACAACTACATGCTGCTAACGGAATGTTAGAACATTATTACAGCCAGACACTCCCTAGTTTGTTAGAGGTAAGTTTAAGACTCTCCTTACTTTGTTAGAGGTAAGTCTAAGACTCTCCCTAGTTTGTTAGAGGTAAGTCTAAGAGTCTCACTAGTTTGTTAGCGGTAAGTCTAAGACTCTCCCTAGTTTATTAGAGGTAAGTCTAAGAGTCTCACTAGTTTGTTAGAGGTAAGTCTAAGACTCTCCCTAGTTTGTTAGGGGTAAGTTTCTTTGAGGTAACTCTAAGACTCTCCCTAGTTTGTTAGGGGTAAGTCTAAGAGTCTCCCTAGTTTCTTAGAGGTAAGTCTAAGACCCTCCCTAGTTTGTTAGAGGTAAGTCCAAGACTCTCCCTAGTTTGTTAGAGGTAAGTCTAAGAGTCTCACTAGTTTCTTAGAGGTAAGTCTAAGAGTCTCACTAGTTTGTTAGAGGTAAGTCTAAGACTCTCCCTAGTTTGTTAGAGGTAAGTTTAAGACTCTCCCTAGTTTGTTAGCGGTAAGTTTAAGACTCTCCCTAGTTTGTTAGCGGTAAGTTTAAGACTCTCCTTACTTTGTTAGAGGTAAGTCTAAGACTCTCCCTAGTTTGTTAGAGGTAAGTCTAAGAGTCTCACTAGTTTGTTGAGGTAAGTCTAAGACCCTCCCTAGTTTATTAGCGGTAAGTCTAAGACCCTCCATAGTTTGTTAGCGGTAAGTCTAAGACTCTCCCTAGTTTGTTAGGGGTAAGTCTATAGATGTTTGTTTCTACTTTATTTCACTGTTAGTCTATGCACTGTTATGTATGGTTCTACACGAATTTTAACAAATTTTAGAAGAAATTTCATATTGTGTTTTCGACTTCTTACCATTGAAACGAGATGTAAAGAAAGTTGTAACTTTACACATAAAGCTAATTATTTTGATATTCCTATTTCAAAGATAATGCTATAATTGGATTTAATTGCTATTAAGAAAGTAAACTCTGAGCGGAGTAAAAGGTTAGAACACCCAAGTAAACGTGCTCCGTACGTTGTGCTATAATTGATAATAAAACATTTGACCATATCAAACAAAAGTAGGCCTTCCGTCTACATTAGCTGTTCAAAATTATATGCTCATAGTGTTCTGTGTAGTTTTACTGGAAAATTATTTAAAAAAAATAATTAACAATAAGTGATAACACATTCGTTTTAAATAACATATTTCTAGAGCGGAAGATCCTTATAGAAGTATATACTAGTCAGTATAAAAGCAAGAAAAATCATTAAAAATACGACACATTTATATAAAACTCACTTCCGCTTCTCGCATTTTGTTTTTATATTCACTTTGTTCTTGAACGAAATTAAACAACCTTAACAAATCTAGTGGGTGTTTACGGATGAAGTGTCCAGGTTCTCTGCTTCACTATAATGCATTTGCTGCTTTGATCAAAGCTATCGACTATAAAATTCCCCGCCATCCAGTTTGTGATAATAACATAGGAAAGAACTAAAGTAAAGATATTGTAACTGTGTTAAACACAAACTTTGTGGGTTTTTCACTTCTAACCTGGCCGTTTAATCCTCACACTCGTATGATTGATTCAGGTTGAAAATATCTATACTTATCTTATTATAGGTTTATTAAAATTATATTTTATTTACACTAACTAAGAATTACACATTTAAATAGATCACACAGCTTCAGACGCCAGAACATGCAATTATCTGCCCTTCATTAAATAAAGTCTACTTTATTCCACAGGAACTACAGGAAATTTATACTGACTTGAGTCAAACAGTGTCTGAATCCATCTTCTCAGCTTCGAGTCTTCTCTCAACCAAGGTAAACTAAAGAGTGTTTTTAGATTTTTTGTGTCTTCTTCCTAATGTTTTTGATTTCCTATTGACCTTATGTACATTTATGAATTAATATTAAGCCTTAAACATTTTTAAGATGTGTTTTTAATTTTTCTTTTTTTTTGCAAAAAAAGAAAGAGTTTGAAATTTTTTATGTAAAAACATTATGTTGATTACACACAGAATATTCCTTCATTTCAAAAGGAGTTGAGGTGGTTTAGTCCACTCTGTGTTTGGGTTAATGTTTTTTCTTAGCAAAGGGCTAGTCGATTGGTCAAATTAGATCACAATTTAGCATTACATACCTTTTTTTAACCAATGAAAATATCTCACAAAAGAGTAATGACCCCTTTTTTTAATGGTCGTCTATGAGAATGTCACGAAAAACCTCAATAACCTTTATTTCATTGATAGCTAAAAAGTACAGCATCAGCAACTAACCATTTATGTGACTAGGTGGTGGAGATTCATTCCTCAGACGTTTTTCTTTCACACATAAGCTCAGAAAAGAACAACATATCACCTAAAGTTTAAACGATAAAACTTTACAATAACGTTAAATGACTCACGTTAAAACATAATAAAACAAAATAATGGCTTCAGTAACAGTAGAATTAGAAATATTTGAAGGAAAATAGTCGACATTTCACATACAGTGGAATCCGCGAAAACTATTATCCAATCTATTGGTTCTGTTTTTCTAATCATGACGTTAGTACCTGTTTTTATTTTACGAATAAAACAAATAGGCATAATAGGTTATTTAATTATTCAATAATGTTTTAAGTCAAACTATAATATCACTGTAACTTACATTTAATTATTATTATTACTATTATTAATTATTATTACTATCATTAAATTTTTATCAAATATTATTATTATCATATATTATTGCCAGCTGATAATAATTTAATGATAGTAATAATAATTAATAATAGTAATAATAATAATTTAATAATAATAATAATAATTAATAATAATTTAATAATAATAATAAATAGTAATTTAATAATAATAATACTAACTAGTAATTTAATAATCATAATACTAACTAGTAATTTAATAATCATAATACTAACTAGTAATAATTTCATAATAATAATAATTAATAATAATTTAATAATAATAATTAATAATAATTAATAATAATTTAATAATAATTAATAATAATTTAATAATAATAATATTTAACAGAGTTCTTCTATTTACTTTAACGCTGTATCTATGCTAAAGGTAATGTCAGTTTGAATTACAAAATATCTAATATCTAAATATACCCTGTAGTATCAACCAATAAAATAACTTAGCAGATATGTGTGGATTTCTCTCTAGTTGCTAGTTATTCATTACGTACGAACAAATGATTATGTTAAAAAACGAGCATTAAAATTAGGTCAAATCCAGAAAAATATAGACTCAAACTTATGTTTGATTTACGAAAAAAACAATGAGGAATTTAAACTGAAACTTAGTGCCAGAAAATTCAACTTTTATCTGTTCCGACTTAGAAAGAGTAAGATCAAGAACTGTATTCTTATAAAATAGAGTATTCTGATCCAGAATGAATTGGATTCATACATTCCATTATTGTACCTTTATTAAAATAGAGTATTCTGATCCACATTTGGTTGGATTCATACAATCCATTATCGTACCTTTATTAAAATAGAGTATTCTAATCCAGATTGAATTGGATTCATACATTCCATTATTGTACCTTTATTAAAATAGAGTATTCTGATCCAGATTTGATTGGATTCATAGATTCCATTATCGTACCTTTATTAAAATAGAGTATTCTGATCTAGATTGAATTGGATTCATACATTCCATTATTGTAACTTTATTAAAATAGAGTATTATGATCCAGATTGGATTGGATTCATACATTCCATTATCGTACCTTTATTAAAATAAAGTATTCTAAACCAGATTTGATTGGATTCATAGATTCCATTATCGTACCTTTATTAAAATAGAGTATTCTGATCTAGATTGAATTGGATTCATACATTCCATTATTGTACCTTTATTAAAATAGAGTATTATGATCCAGATTGGATTGGATTCATACATTCCATTATCGTACCTTTATTAAAATAAAGTATTCTGATCCAGATTTGATTGGATTCATAGATTCCATTATCGTACCTTTATTAAAATAGAGTATTCTGATCTAGATTGAATTGGATTCATACATTCCATTATTGTACCTTTATTAAAATAGAGTATTCTGATACAGATTTG